TACTAGTAGTTTACTGAATATTTTTTAACTAGAGCTGGTTTTCACTACTGGGTATGTACACAATCCCGTTTATTGAATACTCTTGCATGCGTTAGGTAACAAAAAATTACATTTGGGTTAAACATATTAAAAAGTTATATGCATATACTTAAATAAGCTCGGTGAGGATTTAAACGTTTCGAGGTTGAAATGCTATGTGAATATTTCTCGTTTAAGAGTATCCTAGTATATGTATGTATGTATGTGTCAATGCGCAGAATGGTAGCATAACACTCGCTGCCGTTAAGGTTAACAAAACATACACTCAAGAAAAAAACTTTAAGCTTTAAGCCGCTGGAAACTACCAAGGTTATTTGCAAATAAAGAAAAATCTGCAGCAAGCACTAAGGGAAGCGAGGGTCTAAGAGGGCGCCATAAAAAAAGCCTAAACACAATAAACAGCACCAGCAGAAGTGGTTGCTGAATTGCGAGCTAGGAGGAAAAAACAAGACATACTTGAGCTATTTAAAATGGTGTAAAATGTAGCATTTGGCTAAAAATCCAATGTTGGTACATGAATTGAGTGTTTCTCTATGTTCATATTTACTTTTCAAGAATATTTTATGTGTACAGTTAAGATATCAAAAAGGTCGACGAAAAGCTTTCTTAAGACTCTTCACTGGTTTTCGCCATTATTTTCTCTTCAGCCTTAGCAAACTTTCGTAAGCTGTTACAGATGCCACATTGTTGTGCTTAATCCTTGGACCCGTTGAAAGTGCGTTGTTTTTTTGTGTCTTTCATAACTGTAATATCTTTTTGGGGAAAAGTTATAACAGCATTCGCTGTTCATATATTTAACAGATTTCTTTTGTAAGAGTATTTGACCAGCTTATAGTTGAGTTATGAAAGACTAATATGTATATATGAAACCTTCAAAATTAATAATACTAAATTGTTGACTCAAAACCGCTTCATTTATTTCAATGAAATTTCTACCGTCTAATTGGGTTTTTATTAAACAATTGACTTTTCGAACATCTGAAGAAACATTTTTACGGTCGCCCATTTTGTTAACTATTTTTTAGTCAAAGCTAGACACTTATTTTTTAATTAATTTAAAATAAAGTCAAACATTTTAAAACAATTTTTTTTATTTTAATGAAGTATAGTGATGTACTCAATGCTAACCACTCGGCTCCCACTGCCGCGTATGTACGAAATATTGCATCAAGTGTTAAATGCATTTTTCAAAACTTCAAGTTCATGAAAAACTGAAAGATTCAGTTATTATATTATATTAACGGTCAAAGAACGGAAGTAGTTAGACAAAAAAAAAAACTAATTAGTTCCGTGAATTGCGAGTTGGTAGCTGCATATCCAATAATATGACCTCGAAATTGAACATCGTGGTGGGCAGAGAATGGCACATGTATACGCTTTAAGCTGATAAAGAATCACACGAACTCGATATAGATTCGTTGCGAATTGACAAAAAACAGATCACGTAAGATGTTTGGCTATTTGAAGCAAGTCGGTCCTTAGATATAGAGACCAGGACGAAAAAAAACACCGTTTACTACAGCTCACAGAGAAGATGATTAAATAGATACATAAATAAAAAAGTTAGTTATATTTGGAGTGAAGACAATCAGAATCATTGCAAGAAATACGAGCGTATCACGAGAAAACACTGTTTTGGTGAGTATATTCGCAGAAGATCGGAATGTTACTGACTTACGCTACCCTGTGATGATTATAATTTTCTTCGTCCAAATGGAAAGCTCGAGCTGACTGATATGTGGTCTCAATAAGATGGTGTTGTATGCTACACAGTTTAAGGAACAATGGTTCAGTTGAGAGGCGAGTTCAGTGAGCAGTTTATTTTCATTTTTATTGTGCCGGTCGAATGATAACCTAAATTGTATAATTTTTGAGTAATACCAGAGAGTAGAAGTGACAGCTGTTTCGGAGATCACCTTATCCCCTCATCACACTTCTTATGGCAGGGATCGAACCAACGGATCCTGACTTAGCAGGCGAGTGTTCTACCACTGCGCCAACATCAGCCATATAATATATTGTTGTATTATTCAATTCGTTATTAACCAACAACTATTAAGTGCGCTAATTTAGCCGCTATTTTCTTAACAGCTTGGTTAGTGAGTTGTGGTGCTCTATACTTTCAGGTGTTAACTGACTGAAAAATGTATAGGCATTAAGTATTAGGCTCATCTTATATATTTATAACTTGTTTTTTCGGCCATGCTTTACATTAATTTTTTGATATAAGTATTAAATAAACTACGATGCCTGGTTATTTGTATAAATTAAATATTTGAAATATTGAAGTCTGATGAGGGGATGTGGTGATCTCTGAAACAGCTATCACTTCTACCATTTTTCTTTGTTGTATAACAAATATTCAATTCATACAAACAACAAGGCCTCTTAGTTTACATAATATTTGTATCATAAAGTTAGTATATAGCATGGCCGCAAAAACAAATTATAAAATTATATCGATTGTTCTCTCGAGTCAATTAAGGATTTCATAAATTTGTCTGATATGAATGTGTTTGTTTTAAATTCGAATCCAAAAACTCCTAAAAAACTACCTGCTACTTGTGAAGAACTATTGAGAGAGGAAAAATATTCTGAAACTTTTTTTAACATGGCCTAATGTATAACTATGGACACTGGTCAGTACCGCCCATGTCTGATTGTCAAGGTATTCATGGACCCGCCTTAGAATATAAAAATAGTTTGCAACTCTTTCACAATCCGTAATTTCTGCCAAAAGCATTTCAAAATACTTCAAATTTTTTTCTGAAAAAAAATAAAAGTAAATATTTCATGAAAACCAATATTTTCAGAATGACTTCAGTATAGATTGATATATGGTTTTACCCATTCAATGTCGTTGTTCTAATAATTCTGTTCACCAATAACCCGAGTTGAATATTGCACAAAACCAGTTGGGAAAGAATTAAAAATACTGGATATATGAGAAAAAAACATGGACCAAAATTCCAGCTGCGATTCGCTGTTGAATTGTATAGAAATCGATCCATTTCTGGTACAGATGGTGGGCAACCTCAAAAGCAAACGATTGTGGTCTAAAGGCAATAAGCCGCCAAAAACAGTATTTAAGCCAGGGTTGACGGCCAGAAAGGAAAAAATCGTCGAGCTTTGTCCAACAGGAGGGGAATTGCCAGACCACACATACCGATAGTGACTCCCTAAAGCTTGGTTGGTAGGTTATTATGAACCCCCTTTATAGACCGGGCCTCACATCAAGTGACTACCATCTGTTCCTGTGTATAGTGAATGATTTGCTTGGTATATAATTTACCTCAAGGGAAGCCTTTGAAAATCGATTATTCCAATTTATTATCAATAAAGACAGGGCTTTCAGAGAGTCGTAATGGCATTGCTTACAAAATGGCACATAGTTATCGAGTAAAACGATGCATGTTTCAAATAAATGGGACAATTTCAACTATGGTAAATAAAGCCGTCAATTTCATGCAATAATGAAAGATGAGTTGTTATTCGACTAAATATACATACAATGTTTGCTTGGTCGCAACTGCTTGCCCATAACTTCGTACATACATACGCTTCTATATGCTTGGCTTTTCAGGTCAAAGTTTTTGCCAAATTAAAATAAAAATTTTTAACCAAAACTTATGTGTGTACCAAAAAGTATTTGCACAATGTAAAAGCATCAATACATAGTCGTACAAATGTATGTATTGTATGCTCCACATACATATTTACATAAATGAATATTTGTAAGTCAATTATCCCTTGTGAATTCCTCGAAAAATAGAGCAAAGAGAGAATGTGCGAATGAAATGAATTTAAAATTATATGACCATAATGAAAAGGTTTCTGGCATCTATGGGAAGATTAACACTTTTCTGCCATATCTTTGTTGAATGCAATTGCTAAAGGAAGCTATCTTAAACAGCACAAATTATTTGCATTTTTGGAGGAAGTTGGTATATACAAATGTCAGTATGTGTGTTCATATATTGTTAAGATGTCGGCATGAGGTTAGAAATATATATCAAAGTGGATTGGAGAGGTATAAAAATGTGTATTAATTAAGAACATTCACAGCGTAGAAATCCACGGCCTACAGCATCTGAAAACGTTTTACCATCGCCCGTTTTATTAGTAAGACTAAACCCCTTTTTACAGAGGTATTTTTTTATAAAAAAAAACTCCCAGAAAGATAGCTCATAATAGACAAATTTGGCGTCATCTTGGAAATAAATGACATTAGAAGCTAGGCTCAGAATTGTATCTTAACAAGCAAGAGAAGAGAGTTAGTTGGGTTAAAACAATTTTTAGGGAATTTACAAGCAACGACTTAAATATTTAATGACTTTGAGATTGAAGGAACAAAATTTATATGGATATTTACCGGCGAATATTGGCGTTGAGCTGCTTGTCAATATAAACTTTGCTCTTCAAATGCATCCACAAAGAGAAGTCCGGCGGCGGATATGCGCGGCATCCAGTCGAAGTCGCTGTTCTTCGATAAGATGTGTCGGTCGAATATCCGGAAGATTAGCGTCATTGAATCGTGGCTAGTGTGTACTGTGGGTTTGTCCTGTTGGAACCAGAAGTAGGTCGTGTCATTTGCAGTCATTTCCGGAAACACAAGGTCACTCAGCTTCGCTCCGTAGCCGACCATAACGGCCCGTACGATGCACCAAACGGTCACTTGTGAGCGCGATTGATAAATATATCTATTTTTTTCTTGTCTTGAATTATGTCAAAGTATTAACTATTACATAAAAAAAAAAAAAATTTTTTTGCTTTCAAAAAAAATATTAGGAGTTAAACCCTAATAAATAAAATAAGTCTTTTTCCAGATCTACTATTTGCCGGTAGTAGATTCGCTTTTGCCTGCAAGCCCACGCTTGTCAAGTTAGCAAACATCTGTTTACAACCACACTTACCATTTCTGCAAGATTTTAATGTTCTTTTCTTCTGAACATCTCACAGGGATAAGACGTACATCAGAGTCTCTTAAAGTGTATAATAAGGTACAGTGACAATGTTAAGCATCCATCCAAGCAAAGTCTATTCGTTTTTAATTAAAGTGTTAATGATTCAGATCGGAAGGTTAAATCGATTTACAACCACAGCAATATAAGTAAGTCGAGCTCTTGGAGTCGCTTACGCGTAACGTGACAGCATATTTCCATAAAGGTGAGATTTTTTTTTGTTAGCCAATGGATGAAAAACTTGAAACAAATTTTTGAAAATCCCTAGGATTACTTGCATTTTTAAAAGCATTATTGGATTTCCGAAAGAAAAATTAACCCAAATCTGTTGAAAGTCGTGTACCAGTGTCAAGTCACGGAGGTGCTCCGCCACATGGCGGCTAACCTCAAACAGCGAAATAAGAGCCCTGAAGTGTAGTGCAGTCAAAGCAGAAATTCTTTGAAATTCTGACTTACAGCAACTAAAATATACAAAATACTATTCGTACTATTTCATGGTGTTGGATGGATTTAAATGTAAATGACTCAGTCTGAAATTAGTCAGAAAGGCAACACTAATGCCTTGGTAGGCGTAATGGAAAAAGTGAAATCTAAAAATTACTTTTGATAACTATACGTAAACTTAATTAAGTTAAAAAAAAACTTAAAAAGAAAGCCAACATATTATGATGTGAAATGAAGTAATTAATAATTAAATTATGTAACTCATTAATTAACATTTGCTAGATCTACTTAAAACTAAACATATCCATCTAAATTAAAATCAGATATTAATAACAAAAAAGAAAAGGACAGGGAAGGAAGAATATTAATGTATAATTGATTTGACCTCATTTAATTTTCTTTTTACGACGCCACTGATAGTGCGTAAATTTCTAACGGAAGTATTTGTAACCTTGAACTTGAAATTTGTGGTTCTTTGGAGAGATTGTAAGTTTATATGTAAGCATATTAATATTTAGGGCTTGAAATTAACTCGCTCATTTAACTCACCACACCGTAGCACTCACCAGGCGCCTGCTGATCCAGCTCGGAGTATCAAAAATATGTAAGTGTTATAAATTTTGCCTATATATATATTTACTCTTGCTCTCATCTTTTTGTATTATTGTTATACTTACCCATATATAAATATATATATATATATTCATATGTATATATGCATACTTGTTAATCTTATTTAAATTATAAACATGTAAATTTAAGATTTATTTCTATGAATGAAGTAGGGCGGGCCTAAAATTTCAGTTTACGGGGAAAAACGAATTTAGAAATATAAAAGAATTAGTATGTACATCAACATTATTTTAACTAATAAATGAATTGTAGTCATTGAAATGAAGTTCTAAAATTATTGGTAATGTGAGAATGATTTAGGCCTTCGTTTGGAAATGGTTGGGATCGGAGATGATGTGTAAGGAAGTCTCTCGTATGGTTGGGTAGGGGAGAGAAGAGAAGCGGATTTATGGCTTCTACAGTTCGTTCGTAAGCATTTCCGCTTTTCATTATATCCGTTCGTCCGTTTTCTTTTTCTTTTTTGAAGTTTCCGGGTAAGAAATTTTAGTTCAGGTTTGGTTCTGTCCGATTATTATATGTGCATGAAATATTTTTTTGTAATGATGATCCAACCCACTCCGGCGAGCCAAGACCATGCACGCTTAGCCATGTACGAGGCTCTCGAAGAGGCAATAGTATTAGGAGTTGATCAAGCAACCGATTTTAGACGATTAAAATCATTATTATGTGCTTTTGAAATCGGGTCAGACGGTCAATCCTTTGAAAAAGGTCATCGTGGAAAAACGACCAGAATATGCGGTCAGACACGAAGCAATAATTTTTCATCATGACAACGCTCGGCCACATGTTGCAAGGCCTATTAATTACTATTTGGAAAACTGTGGGAGGGAAGTTCTACCTCACCCGCTTTATAGCTAAGACATAGCACCTTTTGATTGCCACTTGCTCAGATTAATGCAGAATGCCCTCACCAGAGTACGCTTCACTTCAGAACAGGGTATCCGAAATTGGCTCTATTCTTTCTTGACCTCCAAGCCGAAGATGTTCCTTTGGGATGGAATCCACAAACTGCCAGAAAGATGGGCAAACATCGTTGCTTCCGATGGGCAATACTTTGAACATTAATTAATTTTCGAAAAAAACCCCACGAATTAATGCATACATCCAATATACAAATGTTCATTAAGCCAAAATTAGGCCATATTATATTGGCTGAGTAACATTGAAGGCAATACTGTCTCCAGTTATTAACGCCTTACGGTAATACCGTGGTCTAAACCATGTTTCATAAATTAAAACTAAAATGTCTCCATTTATTCGGCACTGTTAAAATTTATTACTAATATACTTAGGGCAATAGGATTTTTTGCCTAATTATGGAAGACCCGTCAACAAATGCAAGCGATCTGGTGCACTGGAAAACTTTTGTTAATATCTGTTAGTATTTGTCGTTCTTATGGTAAAAAAAATCTAATAAAGACTGAGATATATATAAAAGTTTAAGTGCTGCAAAATGCGCCTAAAAACTTTGCCGTAGGCAAATTCAAATAATTTAAGTGATCGCATTACCATTAGAGAAATGTTTCTAAAACATAAAAATTTTGAAAATGGTTTTACTACAATAATATAAAATGAAAAAAATTTGAATGATAATCAAAGACTTGAGAGACTCAACAAGCAACTTTAAAGCCTGAATTGACCATAAACTAGGTGATGCTTAGTGTATATATAGCTTGGTTGTGAAGTTTTAATGCAGTCAATATATAGCCTGGACATTGTACTATCTGAAGCTCTACTCTGATGAATTTATAAAGCTGCACGAAAAATAAATAATTATCGGCTATAATAATAATAGTAATAATGTAGCGACACTGGTATTAATTTGTAAGAAAAACATTGCTTTCACTTATTAAAATATATTTTATTCAATAACGTAAAGCGTAAAAATCAGTAATTATTAATTGAAACTAAAATTAAATCTTACATAGGTTAATAATTGCAAACGAGTGAGTAGCCGCACCGTTCGGCCAAAGATAACATGATACGAAACTCTCACAAAATGTAGATAAATGCGTTCCTAGAATATTTTTTCTGGGCTGGTAACAAAGCTAATTAAGGGAACTTTGAACAGCTGTTCTTTAAGAAGCCTCAGTACCACTTAGTCAATAAAGAAACGCGCGTCGACAGAAAAGCAAATTTATCTTATCAATAAATTTGCATTAAGAAAGCAATTAAGCATTATGTCAAAATTAAGAAAAAGCATTATTTGTGTTTGTTGAAGACTGCAAATGTTCAAAAATATTGATTTTTTATACAATTTTTTGTAAGCACAAAAAGTCCAAAAATTCTCCGAAAATCTGCAATGGAATATTTTGCATCCAAGTTGCACTTTTAGAAATTGTTTTAAAAAATGTGAATTTTTTAAACGCTCTCACGATATAAAGAGTCGGTTGGTTTGGCGATCCAACCAGAAAATTAAAGCGAATAAATCATCGTGGATCAACCAGCACACACATTCTCCAAACACAAAATATTTTCCGAGAGTTAAGTGAAGCTTTCAGCTGCCCACAATTGAGTGGCTCTCAGTATGTATGTGGAGGAGTCGCAGTATATAAGTTTAATATTATTTCATTATGAAATACTAAAAAAAATATTTTTTCGTGGTTAGCACGTCTTTATTCTCACAAGTACAAATTTCAACTAACTCTAACTTTACATTCTTGCCAACTTGCCAATTTTCCTTTCTCACATATGATATGCTAACTTCCTAGACATATCGTCAGCGGAATTTGTGCTTCGCGTGGGAACGTCATTTCCAGTGTCTGTTACGTTCACTTATATACTTGATAAAAATTAGTGCTAAATTATGTAAAGCATTGAAAAACTTATTAATTATAGCAGCACATTTCGGAGAGATCGAGAAAGTATTTGAAATTATCGGGACCCTGCTTCATAAAATGAAATGGAAAAGTGAAAAAAATTCAACATCCGTTCTAATGTGAGGTAAAGAGTGAGAGGGCTATTTTATGTTCACTTAGACAAGAAATTATTACTAAACTTTGCAAAAGAATATATCAAAAGTCATTACGCAGGCTACTCTTCAATGCTAAGCTGAGAAGCAAATAAAATATATAACTGTCTTCTGACAGGCTATGAAGATTGATCGTTCAAATATATTGCTGAGATGGATTTTAAAGTTACAGCACTGCGCTGTTGTGCATGACTTGGTTCTCATCAAGTCAGTTTTTACTCACTTTTTTTTTTTAAGTTTTAAGCAAAACAGCACTTAAAATACCGAAATAATTTGAAATAAATTAGCTGTTGGCACTAAAAATGCAGAGATTTGCAGTTATTGCGTAGTCATCAATGACGAACTCACCGAATAAGGAAGACAATATAAGGAGCGATATAGGGTTAACAAAATTTGCTGCCGCAAATACATACGACACACACATAAATGCACTGTCGCTTACACCCATACTATATACACTCTTAAATCTAATTGAAGTATTTCCCTCTGGACTCCCCACTTGGTTACATGGCAATGCCGATACGATTGTAATATCTGCCGCAGTATTACAATAAAGTCGTTGGAACATTGACTTTTCAGTATCTACATTGCTGCATTGTTTTACGAAAATGCACACATATACATACATAAATAGTTTTGTGTACGAGCATAAAAAAATACAAAGTTGCTACATTGTCTCACTGTCCGTTAAACTTTCTGACCAACGACACCCTTTTTGGTTGTCTGCTCGCTGAATGCGCCCGTCTGTTTGCCTGTCGGTCTATCTACTGCATGAGCTATTCAACAACACCTCCTTCCTCGCTTAATTGTGCTCAAATCGTCGACTTGTATCGTCGATGGAGTATCGAAATAACTTCAGGTTAGCCGCCAATAGCGGAAGTTCGGTTCCTCGCTCGTTGTTGTTTCCTTCAGGTCAGTTCTACTGTATGTTACTTGCTTTTGTTGTCATTGTGCTGTTGCTATTGAATTTGATTATCTATCGTTTGGCAGAGTTTCTTCACTTTTTGCTACTGAAATATGCATTTTTCGGCTGTTGTCTAGAGTTTTGTGCTATCGAAGTTACGACTCACACAAAATTATTTGTTCTCACTCTTTTGTTGGTTTGTCATTCTGCCTGTATTGCCTGTACTTAAACTCTTTCAAAAAGAAATTATTGTTAAAAGTTTTTCTTTTTTTGTTATCAATTTTCTGTTTTCGATTTTCTATCCTCATGAGCTGACCATAGCTAGGTCTGCCAGAAAGTTTCCGGGAATTGGTCAAAGCTGCTCACCATATGCCTAATATGCTGATAGGATCATAGTACGACCAGTCTTGTTTAATGAAGTTAATTCTTATACAATGAG